CAATCAGGACTATAGGCTGGCATTCTAAAGATAAAAAGACAAAAAAGCATATAGTCACCATGCTATACTCATACCAGTCTTTAGGAGAGTTAGTTTTGGGTCCATGTGCCTATTTTAAAAAAGTAACAAAAAACATGACTTCCTTCAAAACCACACACCTTGTGGTGATTGTTCACCATAGGGCACAGGAATCCTGGGGATATCTGGCTTATGTGTAATTAGCCATCCCTGACACTACTGATAGTGGTTATTTGGCCTGGTTTTTAAATAGAGAGAATCACAAACTTGCTGCCACTTTTTCTTCGAAAACTTTCTGTGTGACCCATCTGTAAGGGTTTTTTTGTCTTGTTTTTTTTAGTCTTTTAGCATTGCTCCTATTACTTTACAGCAGTAGTGCTGGGCCAAACAATACTAGCAAGTAAACCCTGGAATGCTAAAGCAATATTAAAGTACATGTGAATCCTCATCTTGTAAAAAAAACAACCCATTCAGTTTGAATTAGAAAAATGAAAAGCAAAACATTTGTGTGTAGATATAAAAAACATTATAAGCACCTTTTTGATCTGTTCTCAGCTTTATAAGAAGCTCAGAGAGCTAGGGGAGGAGAAACAGAAGTACACTGGGTCTTCCCAGTAAATAGCTGTGTGTGTTTGGGGGGGGGGGTGGTGGTGTTTCAGGACAAGTCTGATCATTGGAGGAGAGCAGGCTGAGTTCTCAGCACAGCTAGAGAACTGATCAGACTGTGCTCTCATGCTTTGTGGTCAGTTTTTAATAGGAAAGCAGGGAGACTGGCAGGAACACTGGGGATTTCACACAAAGGAAGCGATACAAAGCGAAGAGGATACTTCTCCATACAAGTACAAGGTACAGCAGGAGCATATCAGGAATATGACATTTTTGGGTTTATATATTGTTTAACAGCCAAGTTTTGCTTTTCCATACACTGAAAAGAAATAGCTCATGTATGCGTACGTGTATGTACAGCCTAAACTTTTCGGTTTCTGATAAAGTAGGGAAAGGTTGAGACCCCTGTCAGTTTATTTTTCCTGTGTGTGTTCTATTGCTGAGAATTAGCATTCATTTCCTGTCCTGGAGACACAACAGAAGGGAGAGAAAATCTCTCAAAAAAAGAGATTTTTTCTTTTTGACAGCTGTCACCAGAACAAGTATTGCAAGATTTAATCTGCTGTTCTGGAAACAACTGCAAAATGTTGGAATTCACATCACTTTCTTTGTTGGTGACTATAACATAGATCAGGATTATTATATTTTTGTGAAATCTATCGCCTCAAAATGAACATCAGTTACATGAAAATTAAACAAAAACAAGTGTGTAAGCAGGTTAGCTGATCTGAAACAGGGGGTCTAGAGAAGAAGGCTTCTCTCAGAAGGGAACACAGAATTCATTGTATTCCATACCATAATATAGCCAATTAGTCACCAAGAATTTGGGCTCAGGTCCCTGCTGAACTCAAGATACAATATACCAGACCTATGCTTAGAGAAAAGGATCAGTATTCAGAGATTACTCCAGTGACATGCATCTGGAAACTCAAGGCTGCAGGGTCTCACTAGGAGAAGACTAGAAGAAAATCAGAACTGTTGAGACATATAGTTCTGTATATGAGTATGTTGTGATTGAGACTGGTACATGTAGTTCCTTATTACCTTGGAGCTGCAATCTGGACACCAAGACTTCTCCAACACAGCTGTGCACCCAGGACACATGCCCCACATCTCTTGTGGGTTGCCCTTGGTCCTTGATGTCACATTCCGCACTGCACTGAACCAGTCAGCATCTCTCCCTGCTGACTACCTGTCACAGACAGTTTACCCTAAGCTCCTCCTTGGCTCACACACATGGGGGGGGGGGGGGGCCTGGGAGAGAGGACATTTCCAATGCCATACTGTACTGAGATCTATAAGTTCAGGGAGGCGTGTAATTGTAGTGAGCGACAGGCTGATCTGATCTGGGGGACAGAGATAACTAATCCTTGGAGTGAGAGGATTTATTGCTAAAATGGGGACTTGGAGAAGGAGGAGGGGATTTGTACTAAGAAGAAGTTGAATTAGAGAAAAAGGGGGGAAATTATCTGTGCTAGAAAGGAGAATTTGTGGGGGGGGGGGGGGCGGGGGCATTGTGCTGGGAGTAGTTTGGGGGGGGAGGATTTGTCCCAAGATGGAGAATTTGGGGGAAAGAGTTGTGCTATGGAGGGATTGGGAGAGAAAAAGGATTTGTGCTGGGGAGGGGTATTTGGAGGAGGAGAGGATTTGTGCTCTAGAATGTGTGTGTGTGTGTGTGGGGGGATTTATAGTGGGGAGGTTACACAACCCAGACCCCTGCAAACACTTCATTCTGTAATCCTGACCCCTGAAATCTGCACTTTACACACACCTGCTCCAAGCATTTTGTGTATTACATTTTCCTGGCCCCTCCATTCTGTGTGTTTTACACTCTTGACCCCTGCACTCTGTGCATTACATATTCCTGACCCCTTCACTCTGTGTGTTATATACTTCTAAACCCAGCACTCATCACGGCACTGTGTGTTACAATTAATACACTATATTGTACTCTGCATACATCTGACCAAGGAGTTTATTGTCTTAGCTGTTGGTTGCTAAGTATTTCTTCTTCTTTACAGTAGGCTCAGACAAAGTGTTAAAATTATTGTTGATTGGTTGTTTTGTGTCCGAGAGACTCTTGCTTGAGGCACAGCAATCAAAGCATATTTAATGGGTAGAAGAAGACTTCTGTTTTATTTAATAATTTTATAAAAAATGAAACAGATAGAGCTTTCTTTGGCGGTATTTAATCATCACTCTTTTTTCACGATATAATGGGAATAAAATTACAAAAAAATGTCCCTTATTTTATGTTGAAGTAAAAATGCCAAGACAGTAGGAACACCCCCATAATAACAAATTTTTGGAACGTAGAAACCCAAAAGCCACCTCATCTGCCACAATTTTTTGGGGCTCAAAATTCTAGTATTTAGTAGTGCATCGAAATAAAAATTCTGGTACCGAAACCGAAATGAGTAGTTTTTAAAAATGAATATATATATCTTTGGAAAAAAAATACACTTTGATTAAAAAAACAAACAAAAAAAAAAAAAAACAATATATACCCCACATTTTTTCTAAAATATGAAAGAGGATGTTACAACGAGTAAATAGATACCCAACATGTCACGCACGATCGCGGAATGGTGTGAAACTGCGGTACTTAAAAATCTCCATGGGTGATGGTTTAAAAATTTCTACAGGTTAGTAGTGTAAAGTTACAGAGGAGATCTAGTGCGGGAATTATTGCTCTTGCTCTGACGTTCGTAGCGATACCTCACGTGTTTGGTTTGAACACCGTTTACATATGTGGGCAAGGCCTACGTAAGCGTTCCCCATTACGTGCGAGCACAGGGGGACGGGGGCACTTTAAACTTTTTTTTTTTAACATTTATTTAATGTTATTCTGTTTTATTTTTTGCACTGTCCCTTTAAAAAAATTTCTATCACTTTTTATTCTTATCACAAGAAATGCATGCATCCCTTGTGATAGAAATAATTAGTGACAGGTCCTCTTTATGGAGAGATATGGGGTCAATAAGACACCACATCTCACCTCTGCAATGTAAAGAATTAGATCAAAAAAGCATTGATCTAGTGCAGTGTTTCTCAATCTTTTTTCAGTTAAGGCACCCTTTAAAATTATGAACAGTCCCAAGGCACCCTATAAAATGATTGTGAGCAGCACAGTGGCTAAGTGGTTACCACTTCTGCCTGGCAGTACTAGGGTCGTTGGTTCGAATCCCAACCACGGCACCAACTGCCTGGAGTTTGCATGTTCTCCCTGTGCCTGCGTGGGTTTCCTCCGGGTACTCCGGTTTCCTCCCACACTCCAAAGACATGCGGGTAGGTTAATTGGCTCCTGTCTAAATTGGCCCTAGTATGTGTGTGTATGAACGTGAGCTAGGGACCTTAGATTGTACGCCCCTTGAGGGTTAGAGACTGATGTGAATGTACAATATGTATATGTAAAGCTGCGTAAATTGACGGCACTATATAAGTACCTGAAATAAATAAATAGACAGTCTTGCGGCATCCCATTCTAAAATGGGGTGCCTCAAGACTGTCCATCATTTTAAAAGGGCACCCTATTCTAAAATGTTAAAAACTATTCTAATAGTTTTATATAATGCAGCAATATCCAAATATGTAGGACACCCGACATTAGAGCCGATTTATTCTTCCAAAGCAAATGCACTTTTGCACACTGGTATTCCAGTGTTTTTCTTCTCACTCACTAACAATAACCAACAATAACACAGAAAGGGATTACACATTGGTCACCACTCAGCCAGGTTATAACAAACAAATGCTGTCTTTTTAGTATCTCAATCAGCTACTGTGATCAATAAAATCCATAAACAAATGTTAAAGCCTTAAGCTGGCCATACACTATTAGGATTTAGTTCAACTTTGTTTTATAAACGTTCGATCTATTAGTCATTAGTGGGGTAAAAACAATATTCGTTTTCAGCCACAGTGATAAGAATATTCAGAGGAACAGAATGGAAAATGTTTCTGAAGGAATCACTAAGTGTATATGATTTTTGCTTTGGAAATTACATGCATTACGAAATTTAATATTAATAGCAAATCAAATTTTGAAGTGTGTTCAAATGACATTCATTATCAAATGTACTGAGATTTTTTTGTATGAATATTTGTGTAAATATTTGTATGAATGTTCATACAATTACAAACGTTCAGTTTTGAACAAGTTAAGAAAGAGGTAAAATTAATGCCGGTTTGTTTTTATTTCTGCCTAGGGAGAGACTCCCTTACTTTCTGTCTCTGTGACACCCTTACAAGACAATAGGGATGGAGTTGTCATTAGAACGGGAAGGCATAATCAGCAATAAAAACATGCTTAGTAGTTCTAACTCTTCATAAAAAAAGAAGAAAAACTCACCAAGGTCATATTTGGGATCCTTCTTTAACTTTACCAAAGTGATCTCTCTCTCAGGTGTAGAAGTCAATATTCTGCTCTGCATCTTTTCTAAGGATAGAGTTAAACTGTTACCTATATTGGACCAATACACGAAACATGGATTGTACTTGCCAGTATTTTCTATTTGAAGAGTGTGTTGTACATTCAATGTAATTATAGAACACCCAAGTTTGCCATTTAGCATAGGAATCTGTTTCTTTAGCATACAACAGCTTGCTGTATGGTATTAAGTGACAATAATGTATACAGTTCCAAATGCCATACATTTCATATTCTAAACATTGCTCACAAATAACCAGCATGACTTTACATTTCCATCTTTTGGATACTTAAATATGGCAACTTATTGGTATTAATGGAAAATACTACCAATTATATCTGTGCCAGTTTTCATTTCAAAACATTTCAAAATGAGGAAGAACAGACTACTCTGTGGTTTACTTCCATTAAAGTAGAAATAAAAGTGGTTCTAAAGACTCCCTTTATTAACCTAAAATAAAAAATGGTGGTTTATACTTACCTGCTCCTTGCACTGGTATTGCACAGAGTGGCCCCCTCACCTCCTCTTCTGGGGTCCATAACCAGCACTCTCTGGTCCTCCTTTTCTGCGTCTGCCACCATAGAAAGCCGCTGGCTATTGAGGCAGACGTTTTGGCATTCTCCTGAGCCAGGCTGTTTGTGTCCATAGACACACACAGCGCAGCTTGGCCCCACCCCTGCCTCACTGGATTTGACTAACAGCAGTAGGAACTAATGGCTCCTGCTGCTATCAATCTGCCCTGTAAGACCAGGAAAAGAGAGCAGCGCTGCTGCAAAGGACACAGCACTGGATAAATACAGGACTCAGATAAATATTAGGGAGGGGGTGCAGGGAAGCAAACAGGTATTGAAAGGTTTTTTTACCTTGTAGGTAATGCATTAAGGTAAAATGTCTTGTGACTTTAAAAGATTTAAAGAAAACGGTGTTTATTTTATTTTGGATAGCGTTAAGGAGAATTATAGCTCCTTTTTGCCACTTGTGTACCATTGGGGCAATTTCCCTTCACTTCCAGTCCCAAAGTCAAAGCAGGAAGTGACAGAAAATCCTCCAAATATTTTCCTGTTATTACTCTTCTGGTGGCAATCCAATGGCAATTTGGGAATTTCTTTCACTTTCAATCTCATTGAGAACAGTTACAAGGACAAATAATGAGAGGGAATCTCCCTAATGGGAGATGCAGACAGCAATAAAAACCTGCCATGTTTTCTAATCCCTCTGCACTATCCAAAACAAACTAAAAATGTTTATACTCTAGTTGTACTTCTTTTCATGGCTGCTTTTTGTTCACCCACATTTTGCAATGCATAAACACTTGCAGGTCTTGCTGCATTAAAATAAAGGTTTGGGAATTGAAAAGAAACAATTATACTCACCTAGAGAGATGCAGCATCAGTCTGATGCTGCGTATGTCCGCTGCCACCTCTAAGACCGAGAACTGAGCGATCAAAGACTGAGAGCTGGTCACTGCCAGTCTCTGCCTCCCTGCTCTACCCCTCCAACACTCGCTGGAGCGCTGGCCTGTGTAGGGGTGGGAGCAGCTGACTCAGTCTCAATGCAGCTCACTGAGAGGCTGAGCCAATCGCTGGTCCAGGTATCTGGGTGGTGCGCAATATTAAAGTTGGGATCGATCCAGAGCCTGGACCGGCTGAGTGACGGCAACCAACAGTGGATTTTAGCCTGCTGTCAGCTACAAACAGGTCACAGGAGTGCAGAAATAAACAGTGTGGAGCAATTTCCTTGTCATATTTAGGAGCAGGACAGAAGAAAAGGAGAAAAATATCCTCATTGAGATAGAAAGAAAAGGCCACCTTAGGAATAAAAAGAAGGTTAGATCTCCAGGCCGCCTTGTTTCTGTGCAAAATAATAAAGGGCAAAAAAGCTGCTAACTAAGAAATGTGCCTAACAGATGTAATGGCCACCAGGGAAGGCAACTTTCCATGTTAGATCTTTCAAAGAAATTTCTTAAATTTTTTTGAACAGAGGTCTCTGAAGCACAAATTACAGAAAAGAACCAGGTTGAGATCCCAAGGTGACACAGGAGGTCAAATCGGGGGGTTTATATAAGCAACTCCCTGAAGAAAAGTTGTGATTAAGGATTGCAAAGCCAAAGGTTTCTGAAAGCATACGGGTACTCAGAGCCAGACGCTGGTCAAGACCAGAGTGAAGAAAGACAAAATACAAGAGAGTGTATTTTCTGAGGTTCACTCGTTTGTCCTCACACCAAGCAAAATAATCCTTCCAGACTGCAAATTTTGTGGGAGATGGAGTTTCTTCCTTTGAGTGAGGTAGAGATAAAGTCAGATGTACCCACATCCTTTAGGACTTGAGTTTTAATAGCCATGCTGTTAAAGCCAGTGAGTGAGAAGCAGGATGAAAGAGGGGGACTTGGCCCAGTAGGTCTGGTCTGTTTAGAGGGTTGTCCACAAAAGTCTGTGCATGTCTGTGTGATATGTCCTTCAGGACCAATTTGGTGCTATTAGAATCACCAGAACCCTTTCATCCTCTATCTTGCACAGCAGTCGAGAGAGGAGTTTCATTGGAGGTAAGGCATAAATCAGTCTGAATTGAGACCAAGCAGGACAATGACCCCAAACAGATTGAATTTCATTAAGAACTATCTTCAGTGTAAAGAAGAACAAGGAGTCCAGGAAGTGATGATTTGGCTCCCACAGAGCTCTGGCCTCAAAGTCAAGTCTCTCTGGCTTTACAAGAAGGATTTGAGGCAGCCTCCATCTACAGAAGATCTGTGGTTAGTTATTCAAGATGTTTGGAACAACCTACAACCTTCAAAAATTGTGTAGACAAGCACTGTGTGTGTCTAAAAGAATTTATGCTGGTTTGAAGTCAAAAGGTAGTTACACAAAATATGAATTTGATTTGGATTTCCTTTCTGTTCATTTACTTTGCATTTAGTTAAAAAATAAACGATTAACACTTCTAATTTACAGCATTGTTTTACTCCTGCCTATAACTTTTGCACAATACTGTACATTCTCTAGAGCAGTGGTCTCCAAACTGTGGTTCTTTGTTTGTCTTTATCTGGTCCCAGAGGCATTATTCCTTCCACTGACACCAACAATGGGGCATAATTCCTGCCATTTACACCAACAATGGGGCATCATTCCTTCTACTAACACCAACGATGGGGGAATAATTCCTTCCACTGACACCAACTATTTCTTCCCCTAATACCAAAGATTTGGAATTGTTTACTCCCATTGGACACAACCGGCTCCCCTAAGCCTGAAGGACTATAAACTGGCCCTTTCTATGGAAAGTTTGGAGACCCCTGCTCTACAGTGTCAACACAGAACAATTGCAGCTGATGCCATCTGCCTTATTGTTTTAAGAGAAAAAGGTCAAAGACAGGTTCATAGTCTCTATTAAATTATCCATAGTATGGCAAATAGACAAAACAATATAAATGTGTATGATTCTGTGCTAGGATAAAAAGTGTGTCAAAAGCATTAATACAAAGACAGATGCTAGCACAGGTTTATGGATATAAAAAACCTTCAACAGACATCAACACACAAAGTGCAGTGCTATCATAAAAATGATAAACAATATTCAATACAGTAAATATATACTGCTCCAAAAAATTGAAGGAATACTTTTCAATCAGAGTATAGCATCAAGTCAATGAAACTCCTGGGATATTGATCTGGTCAGTTAAATAGCAGAGGGGGTTTGTTAATCCATATCAGCTGTTTGGTGTTAAAGAAATTAACAACAGGTGCACTAGATGGGCAACAATGAGACGACCCCCAAAACAGGAATGGTTTTACAGGTGGAGGCCACTGACATTTTGTTCCCTACTCATCTTTTCTGACTGATTTTCATTTGGCTAGGGTCAGTGTCACTACTGGTAGCACGAGGTGCACAGAGGTTGCACAGGCAATCCAACTCTTCCAGGATGGCACATCAATACGTGCCATTGCCAGAAGGTTTGCTGTGTCTCCCAGCACAGTCTCAAGAGCATGGAGGAAATTCCAGGAGACAGTTACTCTAGGTGAGCTGGACAGGGCCATAGAAGGTCCTTAACCCATCAGCAGGACTGGTATCTGCTCCTTTGTGCAATGAGGAACAGGACGAGCAATGCAAGAGCCCTACAAAATGACCTCCAGCAGGTCAGTGGTGTGAATGTCTCTAACCAAACAATCAGAAACATACTTCATAAGGGTGGCCTGAGGGCCCAATGTCCTCTAGTGGGTCCTGTGCTCACTGGCCCGCACCATAGAGCTCGACTGGCATTTGCCATTGAACACAAGAATTTTGCAGGTCCGCCACTGGTGCCCTGTGCTTTTCACAGATGAGAGCAGGTTTACCCTGAGCACATGTGACAGACGTGAGTCCGGAGAAGCCGTGGAGAATGTTATGCTGCCTGTACCATCGTTCAGCATGACCTTTTTGGTGGTGGGTCAGTGATGGTCTGGGGAGGCATATCCACAGAGGGACGCACAGACCTCTACAGGCTAGACAATGGCACCCTGACTACCATTAGGTTTTGGGATGAATTCCTTGGAACCATTGTCAGACCCTATGCTGGTGCAGTGGGTCCTGGGTTCCTCCTGGTGCATGACAATGCCTGGCCTCATGTGGCAAGAGTATGCAGACAGTTCCTGGAGGATGAATGTATTGATACCATTGAATGGCCTCTATGCTCGCCTAACCTAAATCCAATAAAACACCTCTGAGATCATGTTTTGGTCCATCTAACGCCTCCAGGTTTCACCTCAAACTGTCCAGGAGCTCAGTGGTCCAGATCTTGGAGGAAATACCACAGGACACCATCTGTTGTCTTATTAGGAGCATGCCAAGACATTGTCAGCCATGCATATAAGCACTTGGGGGCCATACAAACTACTGAGTACCATTCTGAGTTGCTGCAATGAAATTTCAGCACAATGGACTAACCTGCTGCATCATTTTTTCACTTTGATTTTCGGGGTGTCTTTGAATTCAGCCCTGTAGGTTGATAATTTTAATTTCCATCAAATGATGGGGC